CAATTTTTTTTTTTTTTAAAAAACGAAATTGGCCAAAAAAATTGGTTTTTTTTTTTTTTTTTTTTTAAAAAAAAAAAAAAAAAAACAAAACTGTATTCAAGGTAGTATACCCAGTGCTGGCATTAATGAAAAATTTTCATCAGTTTTTTTTAAAGAAAATTAATTAATTAATTATTTCTTGTAAGTAATATTTAATTACAAATTTTATTACAAATTACAAATTTCATGCATGTAAAATAATAATTTTTTTATAAAAAATCCATTCAAACAGCAACAACAAAAGATCAATTTTTGTTATGAAGAAACATTTTCTCATTCATTTTTCTCTCTAGTTGTCATTCGAACGGGGGGGAAATGTCAATGTTTAGAGTGCTAAAAGGATGCGCTAAAAGTATTGGTGGTGATGAGGGGATGGAAAAGATGACGGAGGATCTTCCAAAAAAATCTCGACATTCAATAACATCCATTTTCATTCATTTTGATCATCATCATCATCATGATGATGACGAAAAAAGGAAAAAAAAATTTAATTAAAACAATTTTCTTGTCGTTTCTCACTGTCATCATCATCGTCATCGTCATTTCATGACACTCATTTTATCCAGCAGAAAAGCAAAAAAAAAACATCACCTTTTTCTCGTTTGGCCTATTATTATTATTATTATTATTATCATCATTGTAAATTCATTATTTAGAGAGATTTTTTTGTTTTGTTTAACAATGTGTTCATTCATTTTGTTATAATAATAATAATAATAATAATATTCTGCAGTTTTCCTACAGTTCTCCAATTCTCCAGTTCCCCAGTTCTCCAGTGCTACACACACACATGGATATTGCAAATTATGGGTTTCAGATATGAATAATGAATTTTTTTTCTATTCGGGTTTTCTTTCTCTGTGTCTTTGGATTCAAATAATATTCGTTAGGAGAGAATTCAGTGTAGACAACCAGGAAGAAGAAAATTATGAATTAAAAACTTTTTTTAAACTTAAAGTTGATAATTATAAATGATAATTATAATTTGTAATGATTTTTATAATTTATAAAGAAAATAAAAAACACCTACCTTTTTGATGTATCGGAAATAAACCACCCAATAATATATCACCATGTTCAGTTACTTTATTGGCAATTGTAATCGGTATAATCATTATTAATGATAATAATATTAATATTATAATTATAATTATTATATGATTATAATTAAATGTTTTTAAATTAATTTTTGAAACAAATTTATTATTATTATCATTATTATTATTAATGGCAGTAAATAATTTTTTTGTACGATTTTTATAATGATTATTATAATGATTATTATTATAATTTAAATTTTGGCCATCATTATTATAATTTATAGTTGATATTGTTTTATCTTCATTGCTGTTTATCGAATAATACAATCCAATAATCCATTCAAATAATAATTTTGTAAAAAAATTTTTAATTATAATTTTTATTGCCATTATTATTATTGAATATAACCATAAATGATTGAATAATAATAATATTTGATTTATAAATGATGATGACGATGATAATGATGATTTTAATATTCGAGATATTGGTGGTGATTTCATCGTTGCTGTTGTTATAAGATAATTAAAATGGACGTTTATATGATTCTTGTTTGTTTACGTTTGTTGTTTTTCATCTTTTGATCATCATCATCATCATTAAATAATGGGAATTTTATGGAAGATTTTGTTTGAAAATGGATTTTCAGTTTTTTCTGTTGTCATTTTTTTTTTGTTCACCGCAATCAATTGGAAAAAAATCTGTTGAAAAAAACAAACGAACAAAATTTCATAATTAAAAGTGAAACATTTTTACAAAACAAAACAAAAAATGAATTTTTGTAAAACAAAACAAACAAACAAATTGTTTGCGGATGCAATCTTTTTGTAATGTTTTTACAAAAAAAAATTATTATTATTGCTGTTAAACAAAAAGTTGTTGTTGTTTAAATTTCCGGAATTATTATTATTATTAAGCATAAAAACCATTCTATTCTGTTCAATAACAACAACAACAACAAAACGACAACAACAATTTTGTTGTTGCTGTTATCATCATCATTAACATTAATATAATTAGGATAAAATAAATGATGAAATCAATAGGAATTCCTATGTGAAAAAAAAGTGAAGAAAATTTCAATAATGTCAGAGAAACAAACAAACCGATTTCACTTGTTTGTTCAATTTACTATTTCCATTGAATAATTCAAATTTTTTTTCTTGTTTTTTCCCCCTTTTGTTGATTAAATATCATTAAAACATTTACATTTTGGTTAATTTATTCACAATATATATGCATAAACGATGATTTGAGACAAAGTTTAATTTTTCTAGGTTTGTTTGTTTGTTTGTTTTTTTGAATTCCAAAGTTTGTTTTTATATAACGATTTTGTTTTTTTTCTCGGAAAAATGATTTTCCGAATATTTTTTTACTTTGCACAATGGAAACAGATGCGACCATTCTGTGGATCATATTTTTCTGTTTTTTTTTTTGTTTTCAATAACCGAAAATCATCATCATTGAATATATGAACAGGAAAACAACAACAACAACAAACTTTTTTTTTTGTCACAACCAAAAAAATATAGGTGAAATGGCATCCTCATCACATCCATATAGAAAAACATATTCTAATTTTGAAAACAAAACGAAAAATCTGAAATGTGTGTCTGATCTGTTGGTGTCTGATGCAAGTGACAAAACAAAGTTTAAGAAGCTATTATAATAGTAAAACACAACTGTTGTTGTTGTTGTTGTTATACTTGTCATAATTTTTTTGGGAAGCTTAGAAAGAAGAAGAAAGGAAAAAGAAGAAAATCAACGAATGTTACCACGCTAGATTATATTATTAGAAAATTTTCATTCATTCATTCATTCATTCAATCTTTCATTTGATCTTGATCATCTTTCTTTTCTCTCTTTTATCTCTTTGTTGTGAGAGAACAGAGAAAAATATTATTTCTTGGTAAATATTGGATATATGAAAATGATTTATATCCACACACACTAGCATATGTTTCATTGTGTGTGTGTGTGTGTGTCATTTGATCTGCATTCGAAGATGATGTTGTTGTTAGTTTCAAATCATCATATTATATGAGAAAAAACAAATACAGCTAGACAATCGATGATTTTCTTATAGAAAAAGTCAAATGTGAGTGAGTGAATGAGAGAGAATTAAGAATCTCCATATCAAAAAAAAAAAGAAAGAAGAAATTCAACCATTCAAAACCCGAATGTCAATAATGATGATGATGATTTTCTATTGTGAATGTTTCTTTATTTTTCAACTGCTGTTGCTGCTTTTTTGAAATACAACAAATTGATTGACTGACTGACATTTTGTCATCATCTTTGGTCGTTTTAGTTCGTTTTTTTTGAACAAAAATGGAATTTTGCGAATTGAAAGAGACATTTCTTCCAATGAAAAGAATAAGAAAAAAAAGTATAATGAATGAATGAAAATGAAAATGATCCGATTATTATTCTCCAAGTTTTTTTTCTCTATTTTCATTTTTACTTTTGATTTTCAATTTTTTTTTCATTATCAGAGAAAAAAAATATATATTGTTCACCACACACACACCTCTGTTACCTTCATATACAAAACAAAACAGAATATTCTTTCCCATATATGAGAATGTTCAACAAGCACATTCAGAAATAAAGAAATACTTAACACACAAAGAGAGAGAGAGAGAGAGAGAGAGAGAGAGAGAGAGAGAAAAG